GCGGAACGGCTAAGGCGCTGATTACACAGCGTGAGAGGGAAGAAAAAAAGTTGTCAAAAATGTCGCCCAGCCATGTGGTCGGAGGGTGTTACCGTACACGGCCGTTCCGAGAAGCCCCACAGGAACACTGACCGAGAAATATGACTGCTAATGCGCGCGCAAAACATGGGTCTTTTTGGTAAGGGACCTATGTTACGAGGTGTACGCCGCGGAGGACGGAAGAAAAAGCAAACACCGAAGGATCTAGGTGGCAGCGACTGGGTGAGAGAAGGCGGAGAAGCGTACCGCCTCCCATTGATAGGCGAGCCTGCGTGAACGGTGTGTGAGGGTCTTTGAGATATGAGGAAAAGCATTCACGTACGTAGCGAAAAAGAAATCGGTAGGATGCGCAACGCAAAATCGGTGAAGAGGAATGTAATGGTTGGTAGGTGTAGATCTGACACGACCAAATCCCATCAGCTCGAACACCTGTCTGTCGAATCAGACAACTAACTAGAGCTCTGCCGGCGGCACGCCTTGTGCTTCGTCTTGCTCATGCGTAGATCTAGACCCCACATCTCGCAGCGCCCGTACACACTAGTCTGATCGGTGAGTGAGCTGCAACTGCGGTAGTGTCCAATCCTCAGGGCATGCCCATTGTCGCAATTGGCGCGCTTTCTCCTGACAGGTGGGATATCGAAATCAGGACCCAGAATAGAGGAAGAGATCCAAAAAGAAAGGAAAAATAGAACAGAACGTTAGGATTACCTGAAACGGTAACAGACAGATCATCCACCCAGGCTTTGTAAGACTATAGAACAATTGATTGATTCTCCGGCGAAACGGACAGAGAGATGAAAATGACTAGAAATGCATACGAATTATGTCAGCGCTAGCCACCCAATGATGATGATGAAGTTGTTCTCCTTGCTACGTGCGCATACGTCTGGTTGCATGTATAGTCATGGCCGTCGATTGTGGGGAATATCGAGAGAAAAAAAAATAATCCAAAAAAATAATTAACAGAAAGCAATGCGCCAGGGCCAAAATATGCAGGTCATTATGCACGATCCCAGATCTGTGTCGGACCAGATCGTCCGTGACGGATGGCGACAAGATCCGAAGAGGGAGGGTGTACGAGCATGCGTCGGCGCATGCGGGTGTCGCTCCATACGGCAGGATGTAGATACGGGATCAGGTTTGGAAACCCGCCACCATACGTTGCTTTTTTCCTTTGTTGCTCTACGCCTGACATCACTCCAGACCCTGTTGCCGCTGAACATTCCTGAGGATTTCGAGGTCCATGCGCAAGATGGGCGAGTTTGGCGCAACGTCTTCAATGACGTTAATGGTGCGCTTAAATAGGGCGGAGAGTGTCGCTTTGGTGAGCCAGGTATCGCTTGGGAGAAGAGGATAGAGTTTCGACTTGTACACTGAGGCGAGGACAAGCATGTTTCCGAATTGTCTATGCTGGGTTAGCGGAATGCTATTGAGAAGACCAGGGGAGTCATAGACTTACGCGTGAAGTGTACCGAATATGTTTGTGACTACGAGCCTCTTCTTGCGTGTTGGGGTGAAATACTGGTATTTGCTACCAGGCTCTTCACCTACACGATCGAATGCAATCGTGCTGTGGATCGCGCTGTTGATGCATTGGCAAGCGACCTTGATAATCTTCTGCTGGTCCTCGCTCAGTTCGACCATCTGCACGTTCCTGTTTGTAAGGGGCTGTCCGTATGGGGACGGTGAGTTGTGCTGAGAGGCGCCCGTGCTCCCTGGAGGTGGGGGCGGGAACTCCAAAACATGACTCGCGAGCTTGAGATACGGTCGCAACATCATGTAGAGGCCACCATAGTACTTGGCGCGAACACGGGCAATGTTGAGATCGGTCGAGGGGTACTCGCTGTCGTCCCAGGCAAGCTCGGGCGAAAGTAGTTTCCTCCAGTTTTCCAATACACCCACGTGCGTGAGCGCGTGATAAGCGACTTCCTTGACACTAGTGGGGTCGAAGCTCATTCGTCCGCTGGGTCCGTACAAGGCGTTGTGTGCCACATTCAGAATCACTCGCAGAAACGTCTGGGTAGAGTAGAGCTTCATCATCAGGTCGTTCCGCGGACCCGAAGTGATGTCCTCTAGTTGCGCGGAGCTGCTGTCCTCTTGGATCCAGGTCTCGTTGACACCTTCAGGGTACATAATGTCACTCTGGTGCGCGGAGATACCGGAGGGTGGCAGGTTACTCATCTCCGCCAGAATATCACTAAAAAAACTCTCTGTTAGTGTTGGGATCTCGATTTTGACAGTAGAAGCGACTTACGACTCGAGCTGCAGTGCTGTCCAATAAACACACATGACCAAATTTAATCGATATCGTTCCTTGGGACTCCAGAATTGTCTTTTCTCGTTGTTCACACGAAGGAGCTTGGTGTAGTCGGCTTTGATCAGTACCAGAGCGATACGGCATGCGTTGTTGATCCAACTCCAGCTCTCTAATACTCGTGCGAACTGACTGAGATAGAGTGCGGCCAAAAGCATGGCTTGCGCATGGGCGGTTGTGTTTCCACCTTGCTGGTTTCCGAGGATGTCAGTCGCGTAAGCGTAATAGGCCATACCAGGGAGAATGTCAATGTTTCGCGGGCGGCTATCTTCAGACGCCTCACTGGCAAAACTGCCATTGGCATTTGGAGAGTTGCGGATGTAGCCATACTCGGAGTGAATGTAGGGATTCCGGTCGTTTTGCGGTGCAGGCAAGGGGTCTGTGTATGAACAAACCTTGCCAAGGGCAAGAACAAGTAGAACAATGGCATTGCGCAATGAGCGTTCAATCTCGCCTCGAGCCGATGGCAATCCGTCCAACCCGCTCGCCGAGCGCTTTCGCTTGACGCCAGGATTGAGCTGGTGCACTCCATTGACAGCAGGTGATCTAACACTTGCGCCTCGCGATTCGGGACTGTACTGATCGCTGAACTCTCTGAACATGCGTTTGAGTTTGATCTCGTTCATGAACGGATGGAACATGTGCATGCTGTCCATGTACGACTTGAGCAAATCAAACATGACATGACGACGGAAGTCAGGGCGGCCATCTGGGCCAAGGCCGCTCTGGTAGCTTTCGCGCGGTGTGCTGCTGGGCTCAGAGGGGCTTTGGTGGTCGTAAGGCGGATGGCCCCACAAGCCATCTTTGCCAGGCGCTGGAGATGCGGCCTCGGAATCGTTGCTGCTCTCGGGGCTACCAGGGCCTTGGGCGCCGTCGTTTAGGTCTTGGCCCTCACCAACACCCCAAACGCGCAGCAAACCACGGTCCTGCTCCAACTGCATCGGGTAATCTGACACTTCGCGGCCATTGTCGATTAGTCGTTTCAGGTATGGAATACCTTGATAGAAGATGTTCATTTGGGTCCACTCTTCGAGCAGTTTATGTGCAGGGGTAGTGTGGTCTCCTTGGAGGCCGGTCTGTTCTTTAGGGCCGGTCTCGGTAGCGTGGCTACGTTCGGTCCTCACACTTTCGGCAGGTGTTGCGGGTTGCTGCGGAGGAGGAGCAAACTGCGACTCCTGCTTGATAGGAGCAGAGGCATGAGTGCCAAGAGGCGACAACGTGCTCGAATGGGGGACAACTGGTGATTCCATCTTGAGGTTGCTGTGTAAACGACCCATTTGGCCTCTTGCTCCTTGAGCAGGCGTTGGCCATCTGGATGTGCTCTGATCTCTTTGGGTTGTAGAGAACGAGGCCTCGGGTGAAGCATGATTGGACATCATGTCGGCTCGCGTAGGTGGGAGTCTGCTCTCGACACCCTGTTTCCACGTGTTGAACTGATCTACGAACTGTGATAGAACGTCTGATATGTTGTTGACGCTCTCTTGGAGCTGCATCATGCTTCTGTCTTGCCTGGAAAAAGCGTCAGCGAGGAGGGGGTGACCAAACGTAGAGTGGAGGCGACGCACTTTGGTGGTGGGACATCTTTGTACTGGCAGTCAAAGTTGTTCTCTCTGCAGAACTGGCACGGCCGGGCTTCGTCACACTTTTGTTTTCGCGAACGACAGTGGTTGCAAGCCTGCGTGGCTCGGACCTGCTTCCTTCGTATTTGCTGTGCGGCGCCATAGTCGTTCATGTAAGGCGTGGGCGCGTAGGGAGTCACTGGCTGGGGATACTGCTGAGCAGGCGGTGGTGGTGGCTGCGCGTGGTAGGGCGGGGGTCCGTTGGGGTGAGAGGGACTCATGGCATGAGTATAGCCATTCGCCATGTTGCCATTTGGCCGGTGCTCGGCGGTCATGGGGGGCCACGACGGGTGATGGCCACCATGCTCCATGGGTGGTTGAGGCTGAGGTTGAGGCTGTTGGGGCTGGACCTTGACGTCGGTACTGATACTGAGGCTGGTGGAGCGGGAGCTGTGAGGATCTGGAGCCGATGCTGACTGAGGCGTCGGTGGAGGACGGTAGGTTGAAATGCGGTCCTGGGGGATTGTCACAGTAGCGACTCCTGTGACGCCATTGGGATGCTGCCGGGGAGAGGGTATGTTGCGCGGATCCGCAAGGGCGCGGATGTCAGAGGGTGGCAATGATGGCGAGGGTAGCGGGCCTGGGTAGGCTTGGGGGTGAGCGGTGTACTGGTGAGAGGGAGTGGTGGATAGACCGTGGGTAGTAGGATAGGGCGGAGAAGCCTGGGCCAAGGTGGGATGTGTCGGAGGGCGGGTGGGTTGGGTATGAGGCGGTGGAGGAGGGGGAGGGAATCCGTGGCCGTTGTAGTCAAGATTGCTGGAGCCCAAACGAGCTCTCTTGTTATGGGCGGGCGCGTCAGGATCAGCCATCCTTACATATGCCAGACAGAATCCGCTATGGCCATGCGGCTATGTATGACAGAGCACTACTGGGCACAACGGATGGTTCCAGGACCACCAAACGGCAAAAGCCAGGAAGGAAGGTCGCGGGGGGTGCAGCTGGTGGAGAGCGGCCTCGGCAGTCGCAGGGGCGGAAGGGACCAATTCACCAAAAAGGCAGCAAGTTGGTTGGTCAGTAGTGATTTGCAGATGACAGCCCAACCCGCGTCATCGCATGGAAGAGGGGAAGAGTTTGGAAAGCGTCGCAGGGCAAGTGCTCGGAGGCCAGAGTGGGATGCAGGACGGGAGCTTTCCTATGCCGCGTGCACGAAGAAAGGACCTAGTCTTGGGCAGGACGACCTTACCATGGAGCCGGAGACAACTATCCGAAGCAGGTAAAGGCGAGATGAATGAGTCGCGCGCGGTCAATGCTAGGACGTTTGTCGCTCAGTCGGCGAAAAGTGGCGCTTTTAAGACGGGCCGTGCGAACGAAGGGGCCAGGGCGCAATGAGAAAAGGCGCGAAACCACATCAGTCGCAAAAAGGAACAGCTCCAGGGCGCGATGCGACAGGGCGCGGGAGGCGGCCCAGCACTGGCTCAGGCACACGCGCTGCCGAGGGGGTCGGGTAGTGGTGGAGGTGGAGGTGATGGTGGAGGTGATGGGAGTAATATTAGGGCTGGTAAGGGTGGTGTTTGATGGTGGTGATGACAAGGGGGGGAGGTGGACGAGAGGCCAGAGGCAGAGAGTAGCAGCAACAGCAGTAGCAGTAGTAGTAGCAGCAGCAGTCAATGACACCAAGGCCCAGCGCACATGGGACAGCGACGGCGACGGCGACGGCGACGACGACGACGACTACGACTACGAAGAGGGCGATGGCGGCGGCGGCCGTGGGCAAAGGCAGGTGAAGAGACGGCCGATTAGCGCAAGGCAAATGGGCGAGCAGCGTGCACCAAAGGACGGTCAGAGACATCAGAGAGCTTCTGCAGCTTCGCTTGTGCACGCCCAGCCCGCGCAGGGTTGGGCGGGGGGTCCACCAGACGCGCAGTGTGGGTGCGTGTATACACACACATACATATGTTAGAGGGGCGGGTGTGTGAGTGTGTGTGGTGTGTGTGTGTGTGTGTGCGTGTGAGTGTATAGTAGCATGTGTGTGGTGTGTGTCTGTATGCAGCCAAACCCACGCATGGCCGGATGCTTCAGGGCGGCCGCGGGCAGGACCATGTGCAAGTAGAGTAATTAGAGTAGTAACAGTGGTAGCAGGTCGCGGTAGTCGCACTGTCTCCATCAAACAATGGCGCTCTCTTCTGCCCGTCGCCCGTCGCCCGTCGCCCGTCGCCCGTCCCCCTCCCAGGGCATTACCGCAACCGCTGCAGACAGCAAACGTCGCTCCCGTCCATGGCAACCGCGCAGCCATGTCCATTCCATATCCATGTGCAATCTGCATCTGCCTCGTCCGTCCACCACAACCTGCCCTGTCCCGCCCCGGCCCTTGTGGCTGGCCGTCGCTGGGCACTTTGTTTCGTGCGGCTTGCGCGCTTCTCCGCTCACCACCAACAACAGGCCTCTCTCCGCAGCGACCCTGGTGCAGCTTGAGGCAAGCCTGTCATGAGGGCCTTGAGTCGGACAATTTGCGCCCAATTGCTGGCCTCAAAGACTCAGGAAGCTGATCCGAGCTCGTCGAGGCACTAGTCAACATGCCCAGTCCTCCCAGCCTCCACTCTACTGCGGCACCAAGGCATTCGAGAAGACTCGTGGAAGTGATGCGCTGCAGGTGGCGTCCAGACAGCTCGTATGCCCTATCTTTTTCGGCCTGCCAAAGGATGGACGGGCTATGCTGCCCACTGCCCATTGCCACCGACCCTCGTGCTCGCACTCGCTCCCGCCCGCCAGCCCCTCGTTGCATGCCGCCCTCAAACCCTAGGTCCCCAATCTCCCTCAAAACAGACGTGGAAAATGTGCGATTATCATGGCTGCTACATAGCACTAAACCGCTACTGCCACTGCTGCTGCCCAAAGATCTGCACTCGCACGCTGCGGATCCTGGCGAAACTCCTATAGGTAGCCTGGTGGCACATGGCCAAATGGTGCGTATACTCCCTGCACTACCCATTTGACCGCGTCGTACGGTTGCGGTGGGAAAACGCGGCTCTCGGCCTGGTACGTATGTAGTAGTGGTAGCATCACCACATTAGTTTCACCATGACAAAACACTCTCGGGAAAATCCTGGATTTTATTTAGCGCGCCATAAGATGCGACCGCCAGAATGGCGTCAGGAACAGTAGGCTCCCAGTCGACATGAGAGAAGGGCAGGCCAGGATCACCACGGCGTTATTGACCTGCCCCTCCATCACAACGTTGGTTCCGCTCCGCGCTGCGCTGCGCTGCCGCCGCCGCTCAGTCACCCTTGCACCACGGGAAGTCTCTGCTAATGCCCCTCTGCCAACAGGCACACACACACATTCTCTGCTCGACCGTACCTCGGCATGGTCAGCTGCCAGCAAGGCATTAATCCCAAACAGCAGTGGCCGCTGCTGCTAAGCCCGTCGCAGCAGTGGCCATGGAAGCCATTTTTGTCAGATGACCAGCCGACTCTGCCCGGTCCTGTCCGCCGACGCTACGCCAAGTTGCGGTCTGCCTCAACCTCGATGATTGCTGCCAAAGCCATGTCCGATAGACGACTCCTCTCCCCCACAGCCCGAGCCGTGTTTAACAAGGTCGGCCTGCAACCCTCGTGGGAACCCTGGCTTCGTCATCCTGGTGGCCGTAGCTTCTCCACGTGGAAGGCAGGAGGCGTCCAGTAATCCCTTGGGGAGTTCCTCACACGCCCTCTTGACGAGTCAAAGTCGGCCGATAAGTCGCCATCGAGTCGGTGTAGTAGTCGCGCTGCTTGCTTGACCGGATCAGGGCTGCTCCTACACAAAGTTTTGCGCCCTAGAGAAGGGCAGGCCGTGTCAGTGGTCATGATTCGCGCCTAGCCTTACGTGCCGCCTGCGATGACATGCCCTGGCCTGCGGTTGAAAGCTGGAGCTCACAGCAAAGCGGCACAACAGTTGCATTGCTGTTCCAAAGCTTATTGGAATATGGAAACTTTGTGCGCCCAGTCCAACGAAACAACCAGAGCCCGGCTTGTGACGTTGAGGCTGGCAGCGTGTACTAGGTATGTACATATCTAGTAGTATATAGTGATATGCCAGTACGTAAAACATCAAGTTTCTGTCCCACTACTGTTCACCAAGCGGCGTGCGCATTCCTTGCCTCCACGGAGCGTTGTGCCAGGGGTGTCGTACGAGACGCAAACTCTGCATGCAAGCGAAGCAGCCTCACATTCGATCAAAGCAGCCGGTGATTCAAATGCATCGGAAATCCCGTCGTCTCTACGGCGGCCGAGTGAGTACGACTACTATATCAGTGTATTGTTATACAGCAGGTGGCGGCTAATACCCCGAAGCTCCTGTCAAGACTTGTACCTGGATGATGACTGCTCGTTACACAAAAATCCTTCGAGCGGCAGCGCCACATGTATAATTATTTTGGCCTGCATAGCTACCAGAGCTGACAACATGAACCCATCTGGCTTAGATCAGTACTTTACTGCAAGGTGCACATTTACTGGAAGGCGCACATTGTGATTGTTTTTGGTGGCCCCTGAAAGGCTGTTTGAGCGCTGAAACGCCACAGTGGCCGATCAGTAGCGCTAACATGGCGACGTCACGTCTTCCTCTCATGAGGAGCACAACATCGCAAACAGCAAACATCTCGTGCACCGTCGTCTAATTCCCTTCTCTTGCATAGCATAGCATCTGCTCTACACCTTCGCTCACCATGGTCTCTGCCACCTGGGTCTTTAGCGCCATCGTAGCCTACACCATCTACAAAGCTACCTGGAGATATCGCCGCCATCAGCGCAATATCGCACTCGCCAAGAGCTCAGGGCTGCCTGTAGTCTCGGTGCCTTGGAATATCTACAATCGTTTCTGGCTGGCCACATTCAAGTTCTGGACGCTGCTGCTGCGAAAAATTCTCCCAAGCTCCCTGACGGGCCTGTGGTTAGAGTATGTATGGACAATAGCGCCAATTGTCATGTGTTGACCATTGCCTTGCAGAATCCTACAGGCAGAATGGAGCCATGTCACTGGATACAAATATTTCAAGGAGATTGGCAAAGACATATTCATCGCCGTCGCCCCCTCTGGAATCGATGTCTATGTCGCTAATGCAGAAGCCATCACCCAAATCACTACCCGTCGTAATGACTTTCCCAAGCCTCTTGAGATTTACAAATCCCTCAACATATATGGTAAGAATCTCGTGACTACCGAAGGAACCGAATGGCGCAGCCATCGCAAACTTGTAGCACCGAGTTTCGGTGAGCGCAACAATGAGCTCGTTTTCAACGAAACACTTCATCACGCAAAATCGCTGCTTAGTCTCTGGGCGGGACCCGAGGGAAGAGGCAACAAGACCATAATCGATCCTTCTATAGCTTCAATGAACTTTGCTTTGTACATCATTAGTAGCGCAGGCTTCGATGTACGGGTTACCTGGCCGCACGAAGAAGGTAAGGAGGAAACAGTCAGCAAGAATACAGAGCAGTCCATTTCTTTCAGCTCCAAAGCGCCTCCTGGCCATACTATGAGCTATCGAGAAGCGCTCAGTGAGCTGCTTCATAATATCATATGGACCCAGATAATACCTATCCCATGGCTTGGTAAGATATATCAATACCACTTGTAATCGAAACAATGACACTGATGCATTCTATTAGAAAAGTCTCCGTTTGCGGCACATCGTAAAGTCGCCGAGGCAGCTGCCGAGTGGGGCGCTTACATGAACGAATTGTACGAGACCAAAAAGACTCAGTTTCTTTCCGGTGAAGGCAAGAAGGGAATGGATGTTTTCGAATCTTTAATCCGCGGTAGTGGTATTACAGGTGAAAACGCCCCACTTGTCGATAAGAGCGATATACTCGGTAACGCTTTTTTGATCATGCTGGCGGGCCACGAAACAACAGCAAACACGCTACATTTTTCGCTGATTTATCTTGCAATCCACTGGGCATCCCAGAAACGGTTACAACAAGACATTGACCGGATATTCAATGGTAAACCCACCAGTGAATGGACGTACGAGGAGCATTTTCCTAAGCTTTTCGCAAGCATGCCAGCTGCAGTCATGAACGAGGTGCTCCGGCTATTGCAGCCAATTGTCAACATTCCAAAATCAGTCACGCCAGAACAATCCCAGACCATTCAGGTGGACGGCAAGTCATACACTATCCCTGCAGGTGCCAACGTCTTCCTGTGCTCGTCTGTCCATCGCAATCCGAGGTATTGGCCCGCACCCGAAAATGACACAAACGATGATGGTATGTCGGACCCGGATTGTTTCCGACCTGAGCGCTGGTTTACAAAGAACAATCTTTCGGAATCTTTTGTCGAAGTTGACTACGACGACGAGGCACTACGTGGACCATCCGGCGAAGACACGTCATCGGAGCTCTTTAAACCTGTCAGAGGGTCCTATATCCCATTCAGTGATGGTGGCCGATCCTGCATAGGGCGACGCTTTGCGCAAGCTGAGGTTCTCGCAGTGCTAGCTGCTATATTCGCGCAGTACAGTGTCGAGCTTGCCGTCGATGACTTTGCTTCTGACGAAGAGGTGGACAAGATGCCAAAGGGAGGCCAAGAGCGACGAGAGGTATACAACAAAGCTGTAAATAGGGCCCAGCATGCGCTTCGATACAAAGTTGCGTCCATTATTACATTACAGCTGCGGGGCACTTCTATACCTATCAGGTTGATGAAGAGAGGAGAAGAAAGGTTCGCTTTTGACTAGTTTAGGCATGACAAGGGGGTAGTACGCACCTGAACTTATATGCAATTACTCATTCACCAAATATGAGAGGTAAATGAAGTACAAAGTATTATCTCTATCTATGTATTGTTGGTGCTCAGAACAGGAGCTACCCCGCATCACGTCACTTTGGAGAAGCTACCCCACTGACTCGCAACGTCCATGTCAGCCATAACAACATCCCAATGTGTTTTGTCTGGAACAACGTTGTAAACAAACAACAAAAAACATCGATTTCTCCGTAGTAGCTGAGACTAACTCAATAGATACCCCGGAACATCGCAGAGACCCTTGGCATCGTTGTCAAGCTCCACAATGCCACCCCCAAGCTTCCCACCCGAAGAGCTCCGGCTGATAGTTCAAGAGGTGGCTACTCTTCTCAAAGAGCGCAAAGAAACAATATCAGTTGCAGAAACAGTCTGTGGACCCTTTTTACCTACCAATGGATATGTGATACACACCTAAAGCTAACTACCCACGACCACCTCACAGGCAGCAGGCGGCCTCATCTCAGCAGCGCTCCTGTCTTTCCCCGGCGCATCATCCTACTACCGCGGCGGCCTAACCCTCTACACGCTCGAATCGCGCATTGCGTTTGCGGGCTGGACCCAAGAAACCGTCTCTGGCTACAGCGGCCCCACGCCAGCCGTTGTCTCAGGTCTAGCCGAGCACACGCGCAGCAAGCTGGGCAGCACGTATGCTGTCAGCGAGAGCGGGACTGCAGGCCCCACAGGCGGCAGCACCAGGAACCGCACGCCGGGATATGTGGCTCTTGCAGTGGCACGCGAGGGTGGGGACACGGCGACGAGAGAGGCAGAGACGCGCAGCTCAGAGAGGGAAGGCAACATGGTGGCTTTTGCGGTTGAGGCGCTCAAGCTCGTTAGAGATGTTATCAAAGCGGATGGCGGTAAGCTGTGATGGGAATCAACACAAAATGGGTCAATGGGCGGGTGGGGCGATTAGACTAAGTGAGTAATTCGTGCGAGAAATAGAAGGGCCCCCCATTGCGTGTGTGTGTGTGTGTGTGTACCGAGGGCATGGTTAAAGGGTTGTTTAAGCGTACAATCTTGATCTACTCAACGTTTTCTGGATTTAGGGAAAAGCCACCGTGTGAAACTGACGTTGACCCTCACACTCGGAACATAACAATTCCTATACTAATGGGTTGGTGTACTGTAGTAGTAGTAGTAGTAGTAGTAGTAGCGAAATTTACCTGATTTGATCGGTATCAAGATTATTAATCGCTGCCCCAACAGTTCC